CTAGATGTTCATGAGGAATATTTAGCGTAAAGGCTGGTTCGGATATATTTGAATAATCATCCATATCTATCATATTAGTATAGTCGGTGCATTCGAAATTTATTTCGGGTGTTTTGTAATCTCTCAATTGCGTCAGGTCTTCCACATTATTACGGTAATATAAGATTTTTCTTATAGCTGAATCTCGTATTTCCTTTTTATTATCAACAACATTGCTAATAAAATATTTTCTGAGTGAGCATAGTATGCGTTTTCTTTAGCAACATTGTTCACAATTTGTCTCAAATTCGAGTCTAATATTGCGTCCAGCTAATAAATTTATAAAATAATATACTACCATACACCACAGAGTTGTAATATTTAATGTTAAAGTACATTGGAATATATACTTTCATTACGTAGTTTGCCAGAATTTTCAAATTTTTGGAAGGCTTATTAGTAGTTACATATAACCGAAGTAACCTACTAGCCTTCGTGAGCCAACGGGAATGTGCTATTGGCCCTGGTTTCATGTTAGCTAAGTCTGTCGATACTTCTCCAGAAGCAACTGCTTTAGCTATTTTTATTAAATAACTTGAGTCAGTTGTCGATTCAGCAGGACTTATATCAGCCAAATTTTCAAGTGGGATTGTTTCAAAGTCTTTTACCGGCTGGAAGTATATAGGAAAAAATAAATTATATTGAATTTGAACATAGGGTATTAAAAATAGTAAATATGTTATAACTCACCGGTATATTTTCGCATGTTTCAATTTGTTTGCTTAATATTCCAGTTTTTGTTCGTGGTCCAGTGGTCAATGATTTTTCCAAATAGTTAAATAAATGGCGAAGTGGAAGTTCGTTAAAGTGGAGAAGACACACAAACCAATGCAGTGGCCTGTTTAACTGAATTTCAAATCGACGTAAAATACCATTTTTTACGCCTGTATTTGCTGGTTCACCATCGCAACATATGCCTATCAAAGAATCGAGAGCTATTCCTTTATCGGCGAAAAACTCGTTCAATTTGATTACTTTACTTTCCGAATCTTCATTTTCCAATTTTGTGTAACCCAACAATTGGCCATTCGGTTCCTTTAAAATAACTAAATGCGCTTCTTTAATCATTCGTGGGTGAAACTTCTTATCGATTTTTTCCATGGTAATAGAATCATTTTTTCGGCCGTCGAATGAAAATGCTATTAATTCAGAAGAATCATATCGTTTGTGTAGAGCTTGCCTATTTTTCTGCCTCTCGCGAACGCTTTTATTTTTGTCCATAATGACAGGATTGCCCCAATCATCCGTTATGCCCAGGTCACGCAGGATTGCCGTCACCACGCCAGACCCAACTCTATCAGAAATTGCAAATCTGTCGCACATTAAGGCATAGCTTGGAGCCTTATATCTTCGACTATATGGACCACGTTTTATATGAGAAGTATTTTGTAAACTTTCCGAACTGCTTTTAAAATCAAAATCAACATCTGGAGTATATGTCTCACCTGGAGTAATATTGCTAGTTATTGTAGATTCTGATACTTCATCTTCAATTTTTATAATATATTCTGGTATCGTAGATTTCCTCTCATTATGTTGATCCATCATAAACGCTTGTAAATGTTTTGGGATCAATCCACAAGAACACAGTAATCTTCGCAAATCGCATTTGCATTTTCCAATATAAAATAATTCTTTCGTGGATTCTACAAACTCCTGAAATGATGCTTGGGTAGACTTGCTTTTATTTGTACTTTTATATTTATCAATCAATCGGTTCAATTTTCTAGCGATACTTCGTTTCTCCATAATTGGAATATCAATTTTTTCCCACGTCTGAATCAATTTCGTTACCACATTTGGAGTAAATGTTTTATATGAAAACATTTTATTTTGTTTTTTTGATTCTTCGGCCAAATAAAAATAATACCTGATAATTTCCATACTTGTCGGAAGATTTACACCAGTAAATTCTTTTGCTTCCCCAAATGTAATTTGATCATGCGAGCGCATATGATTCAAATTACTAGCACTTGCGCCTGAATTTAAATAAGAATTCGCCATTGATACTTCACGTCTAACTGGAGAACTGAATGAAGATTTATGCGAATTTTCCACATTAATATATTCTTTTCGAAAGTTCGAGAATTATTATAAAAAAATACTAGCGCACTCTGATGGAAATAAATAACAACAAACTAAACCCGATTTAAAACCCCCGTACAAACTATTAAAAGAAATATAACTTACAATTGGAATTATTCACATGCCTAAATTAATATATTAACTTATTAAAAACAGTATTTTATTGAAAATTTCGCTGGCTAAAGAGTTATTTGCGATATATGGTTTTGAAGTCAAAATTCATTTAAATAACACATATATTTCATATGAAAAGGTGCCCATATCGCTTAATTTTACTTCTATAATGATTCGGCCCACCCTAATATATATATATATATATATATTATGTTCTCAGAATTTTTTGTTTATGAAGTATTTGTACTATTCAACAAGTTATTTGTTCTTTTTAACTTTTTAAATTTTTGCATTAGTGTCATTCCTTCTTCCATTTGTTCCTCCCTTGTCAATACTCCTACGCTATTCTCTTCGTAGTTTTTAATTTTTTAATATATTATTATTAGTCTTTAAGTAATTATTACTAGTCAGTTCTTGTGAATTTATCACTCTATTGTGAATGCTCCTACACTATATTTCTGTGCAGTTTTTATATATTGTTGTATTGTATATTGTATTATTGTTATATAAATTTCTTGGAAATTTGTCATGTAAATACTTTCCCTTAGTTACTTATAATTGTAAACTTATAATACTTTTTATTATTTATAATAATTAATTACAATGAAAGCACTTTTCTTAGTTACTTATAATTGTGAATTGCTTTTTATTATTTATAATAATTAATTGCAATGAAAGCACTTTTCTTAGTTACTTATAATTGTGAAATACTTTTTATTATTTATAATAATTAATTGCAATGAAAGCACTTTTCTTAGTTACTTATAATCGTGAAATACTTTTTATCTTCTATATATAAAAACAAGTCGGATTTTCCTTCCTGACGAAATAACTTCAGAACGCACGAACCGATTTCGATAATTTTGCATTCGTTGGAAAGGTCTCGAGCTCCGCAAGGTTTATAGCTAAGAAAATTAGTGGTGCATGGCATCGTGCCGTAATTAAAAATTCCAGTAGTAAAAATAATCAATAACTGTTTTAAATAATTGCAAATAGATTATCTTCTATATATATAAAAATAAGTCGGGTTTTCCTTCCTGATCAATTTTTTTGTTTTCAAATATAGAACAAACAAAAAAATACTTCATCTTTCTCACGAAACCATCTGGTGGTGAAACGGAGTTCGTCGGGTTTGCTAGTTATTTATAATAATTAATTGCAATGAAAGCACTTTTTCTTAGTTACTTATAATTGTGAAATACTTTTTATTATTTGTAATAATTAATTGCAATGAAAGCACTTTTCTTAGTTACTTATATTTGTGAAATACTTTTTATTATTTATAATAATTAATTGCAATTAAAGTACTTTTTCTTAGTTACTTATAATTGTGAAATACTTATTATTATGTATAATATTAATTCCAATGTAAGCACTTTTTATCAATTACTTATATTTGTGAAATACTTCTTATTATGTATAATAATTTTTACATTTATAACATGTCACTACCAATTTTAATTGTTATGTAAAAAATTGGTTCGTGATGTATTTGAAAATATATTTTGCACTTCATATATTTTGTTCTCATTTTTAACGTAAGAAATGATTCGGGTTTCCTTTTACTGTATTACGTATACGAACCATATCTAGAAAAAAAAAACAGCGGTTAATTTATATACTTTACATACGCCATGTTGTGATCTATTCGTAAATTAAAATGAGTGTAAAGTCAAATGGCTCAAGATAGCGATCTATTTATGCTTACTTATCTATGACCTGCTCCACGTCGACGACAAGTGTATTGAAAGACAGAGAGCGGAAGCCGGGATCACTCGGGGGCTATGACAAGAACAACATTGGTATTCTAATTGCCCTTGAGATTGGCAAACGATACTTGGTGCTTATGAAGCCTTTGATGGTGTCTGACACCCTCAAATGGTCCCGCGACATGTACGTCGAGCACATCACGGGATGCAGACAGTACCACGGCTGAAAAAAGACAAGAAAATAATGAAACTATTATATTATATCCTCTACAAACCTTTCTATCCTGCCCAAATAATTCCGTTTATTACTTGTAAACAACTTTTTAACCTTGCTACAATGTATACCATATTATCTGCACTATGTACATGCCGCTTACCATGTTATCTGAGCGAATGACGCAGGATTGGGCGCAAGCTCTCATGAACAGACAACGACCGGAAGAAGTGTTGTTCTTAGTCCTGCGCTGTCCGCCCCGAATTTGACAGATTTCCAATCCGAGGCCTGCCAAAGAATCGGTGCGATTACAACACCGGATGAACTGGATAACGAAATTAAAGTAATATCGGAATTATTCAAGCCGCCGGAGAGCACTCAAAACACGAACACGACAGGCCGCAGACATCGGCCAAATACTAGCTAAAGCTAACGCCGGAGAAGGAACCCCGAAATGACTTTCGACCATGCTGCTGCTGCTCGAATACAAAAAGTTTACAGGCAAAATAGGAAAAGGGAATTTTGGGAAATAGCGGTAAACAAAGAAAGAGCGTATTGTCGCTTTGAGCCCGAATTCCTCCACGAATACTTCAAGGCCGTTTACCGAAGCCAACCGGATTCAGACCGTCAGAAGCCATGCCCGGAGTATACCCCCAATAACACCGGTGGGGGATGGAAACAATACCCCCCTAAATGAAGCTTTCACAGCAGAAGAGATCTGGGCCGGTGCCCTTAAATGCAAAATCACGGCGCCGGGCCCTGATGGCATCAGTTACTAGCTGTGAAAAAAAATCACGGCGCCGGGCCCTGATGGCATCAGTTACTAGCTGTGAAAAAAAATGCGGTACTGGCTCCCATATGTTAGCGGCAGTATTCAATCAGGCACACAGGCTGAAGAAGTACGTACCCCGCTCGTGGCATGTGTCGGAGATCATCTAATCCCGAAGAAAAAAGACTTGGATGTGGTTACTATCCTGAAGAAAAAGACTTGGATGTGGCCTATCACCCTATCGAATATAATTGGAAAATTGTACGCCTCGGTTCTGGCAGATAGCCTGGGCAAGTGGTGCAGAGAAAACAACCGTATATCAAGCGCACAAAAAGGGTTCATGCCATTTGAGGGTTGCAGCAAGCACAACCAAACGCTACAATCTTCAATTCAAAATGCCAGAAGGAGACGCAAAGAAATCGTGGTTGCGTGGCTTTACCTCAAAAATGCTTTCGGCTCGATCCCGCATAAAACGATCTTCAACGCAATGCGCTGGGCGGGACTGTACAGCGAGAGCATCATCCTGATAGAACGATTCTATAGCGGATGCACCACGAAGATTAGAACACACCAGGGATAACCGAAAGGCGTCCCAGTGGAAGCGGGAGTGAAGCAGGGATGTTGTCCGCTGTCACCTATAGCGTTCAACATGGCCATTGAACCGCTACTACGAGCCATCCGCAATACGACAGATAACTATAATGCAAACGGCATCGTCAATAACGTGCTGGCGTATGCTTATGACCTTGTGCTGATGGCCATAATGCAGAGGGACTGCGAAAACTGATAGACACCACAGCTACGGTCTCAAAATGGAGCGGACTGCAGTTCAACACCAGAAAATGCGCCACGTTGCATGTGGATGACAAACCCCACAGAGCCATTGCTACGACTCTTAGCCTGAATGGAGAAACAATAAAGACCCTGGATACGGACCAATCCTATGGATATCTAAGCTTCTCAACGGGTTTTCAGAGTTTCAGTTCGGCTGACGAAATTCGGCTGACGAAACGACGATGAGGAGACATGCGGAACAACACAACCATTCTCTACTGGCCCCGTGGCTTCGATGATGGCGTCGCAGAAGCAAGTCTGGCAGCGCTGAAGGAGGTTGTTCAAAAGAAAACCATCAGGAAGGCCACGCCAAAGGAACTGGTTGACTACATCAACGGATCAGACAAATGATTGATAGGAAAACCGAGTAACGATATCAGTTCCACATGGACGAGACATAAGGCAGCCGCCTGAAACCTCAAGGGCAAAATTAACTTTTTCCTCAAACTGGACTCATTGCAAGTGGACGACAAGCGTGTCGAGAGACAAAAATCAGAACGCACTAAGAACAGCGCCATGTAGTCACTTCTGCAACAAGCTTATACTCAAACCCGACCAAGAAAAAAGTAATAAAAGTGACTTCAGCCAACTCTGTCTCCAACCACTTCATTTAAGATGGCTGTTTTACGAGATTTGCAACAAGCTTACCAGGACGCAAGCCTACAAAACCTTGGGATTATGACCTCAGACTCTCGCTCAGCACAGAAAATACCACATCTGCGGAAACTGAGATCATCTATCTAAGCCTACCATTAAAAGGTGACAAAATACATTGCCCCAAATGCAGAAAAGCATACGCCCAGAAAGATAAATTAATGATGCATTTAAGAAAAGAGCACCACGCTGTACTCAAATACAAATGCTCGCTATGCAACCTAACAACTTCGACGAATTTAGGGGCCACCTTATGAAATGCGAAGGCTGTGGGAAAAAGTCCAATACGACGAACCAAAACAATCCGTCCAAGCCAACACCCCAAAGTTCCACCAAAGTTCGCTTCTACAGATGGCTTAAATATCTAGGCTGCGACCAACAGGAATACATCGGGTGGTCGAGACTCAAAACTGCAGCGACCGCATCAGCGACCAGGTGTACAACCCCCTGAAGAGGGCTCTAGCTCTCAAATAATGACAAGGTCGAGAAGTAGAGCCGGAAAAGCCGCAAAAAAATTCTTACGAAGATACGACCGGGAGGTAAAAATCTATGACAAACGATGGGCCAATCTGCCAAAAAGAGCCACCGCGGAAATTCTCTAGCTCACATACACGGAAGGTGGATTCAACCTGCTGCCGACTTCTTTCCTGGCAGACATTGGACAGGTTTTCCACGCGCACAGGCTCCTCACGTCGAACAACAAATGCGTCGCAGAAGCCAGCCTAGCAGCGCTGAAGAAAGTCGTCAGGAAAAAGACGATCAGGGAGGCTACGCAGAAAGAACTTACGCAATACATCACCGGCTCAAACGAGGGACTGGTCGGAAAGCCGAGCAACGCCATCAGCTCTACGTGGATCCGACTAAGAGCAGCCGCCAGACGTCTCATAGGAAAAATCAACTTCCGATTCGAACTAGACCTGCTCCATGGCCGGTAATCTCCGAACAAATGTACAGAACCGTATTTTGAAATGGCTTAGTATTTGAAATGATCGAAGAACGGCGCCAATATTTACAATTTGATACATCAGAAAGAAAAATAGATGGCTGCACTCAAATATAAATAAGCATGGCTGCACTACTAATCGCCGTTTCTTGTTGATCGCCATTTTGTGCCGTTGTGATAGTTCTTGTACTTCTATTATATCTGTTAAACGTTGTGGTTATAGTTTTTTTTGGTGATTATTTTTTTTTTACTTATTATTAAGTTAAAATGGTGAAGTGTTACGTACCAAATTGTGTTAACACCACAAATAATAAAAAGATGCATGTCTTTCCGGCATCTAATGATCAAGTATGTATATAATGATGTATTATGTTTATATAATGAATATGAATAAAGATTCATTCATGTATTATGTTTATATAATGAATATAATGAAAATACTATAAAAATGTTCTAGATGTTTTCAGTTTGGGTGCAGAGGACAAACAATCCTTTAATGGATGAGTTAACCCCTTTCGTTTGTGGCAAAAATCGTCATATTTGCGACGCGCATTTCACAAATATTTGCAAAGTGGAATATTCGTCAACAAATTCAAAGACGAATCTAAAAGTTGAAACCCTGCCTACTCTAAATATGCCAGGTTAGTATTATAAATATATAAATTAATGAATTTATTTTTAATGAAAATGCTGAATTCATATTTTGCTTGTTTTTTATAGGATTCACTGGAGACCCATTCTTAGAGAAGAATTGTCTCATGGATAGAGCTAGATTCCGTAAGGATAATGATGATATATATATATATATATATATATATATATATATATATTTGATTGATAGATTCTAAAAATCTTATATTATTGTAGAACTTGGAGTGTCTATCCGTGATAGGGATATAAAGGCAGGGGCATACCGTTTGACCACAAATAACAATACACCCTTGGGTAATTAAATACAAATTGATTAGATATTCATTTTAAATGATGTAGTTGTCTTTGAATCAATTATTCTATATTTTTTCTAATAATTTATATAATTATATGCTTTCATTTTAAGTTTCTTCAAACTTTATGGAAGTGTCTCCTTCTAGGCAGTTACAGAATTGTTCTCAGGTTGCAAGAGAATGTTATGAGGCAGAATTAGAAGAACAATCTGCAACACCAAGAACAAGGCCAAGTTATTATAACTCTAAATACTTTAATACCATTTGCAAAAAAAAACTAATAAATGAAACTTTTGTTCTTAGTTGGGATATGCAATCCTAAAAATCTTGAAGGCGGGTTAAAACAGTCATCTTTTATGACTCCAGTTTCCCGCAAAGATATTTTTTATAATAATTGCAGCAATAATAATTAATTTATCAACTATGATATTATAACATTCTATTATGTTTAATAGGAGTCCTGGGGGGTAGCTGCAAATTGCTGCAGAATGCAGTTATAAAGCGTAGGAGTGCCTTGACACCCAGAAGATGTAAGATGTATGATACATCAAAAATTTTGTTCCGAAAGATAAGAAGGATTAATAAACAATGTAATAATTTAAAGGATAAATTGCAACAGAGTATACAATGTTCTGAAAAGTTTTCAAATATTCCAGAAACATTAAATATTAGGGCAAGAAATTTTATATTGTCTCAATTAACAGAGCATACTAAAAATCCGAAAGGAAGAAAATTCACAAACGAAGACAAAATTCTTGCTTTAAGTCTGTATAAAAAGTCTCCAAAGGCTTACTACTTTTGGACACAAATATTTATTTTGCCATCTCCTCAAACATTGAGGAAGTTGCTTTCAGAGATACCTTTGTATAGTGGTATTAATGAGTGACTTTTTAATACATTAGGTTCAGCTATTTCTCATAAAAAGTAAGAGTAGAAAATACTGTGTTTTGATGTTTGATGAAATATCACTATCTTCAGAATTGTCATATGATTGTAAAATCACACTGTTGGTTTTGTAGAACTAGCAAATGGCAGAAAAAGTTTATTTGCGGATCATGATAAAAGGAATAAAGGATCGTTGGAAGCAACCAGTTGCTTTCTACTTTTCCGAAGGTGGAGTAAATAGTTCTGATTTAAAATCTCTTATTGTTGATGTGGCAAAAAAGTTATTTAGTATTGGTTTAAAGCTTGTTGTCACAGTTTGCGACCAATATGCCGCAAATTGTAAAGCAGTTAATATGCTTTTAAATGATACAGAAGAGTATTATAAAACAAAAAACCTTCATTGGAATAAACTGTTTTTTGAAATAGATGGTCATGAGATTGTACCTTTATATGATCCTCCACATTTGTTAAAGTGTATGCGGAATAATTTTGCTAAGTACAATGTTAAATTTATAGGTTTAGATGGAGTCGAATATAAAGCATCTTGGAAAGACATCATAGATTATTACAATTATGATTCTACTTCAAGTATGTTTCGTCGTTGTCCTACATTAACCGAATACCACTTTGATCAAACAAAAATGAAACGTATGAAGGTCAGTCTTGCTGCGCAAGTATTTTCTCAACGGGTAGCACATGGACTTCAAAACTCTGGTTACCAGTGTTACTTCATATGGTACCGGAGAATTTTTGATGTTCATGGACTACTTATTTGATAGTGTCAATGGTTTATCAAAATTGCCATTGAATGGTAAACAATTTCGATGTGCAATTTCAAATAAATCGGCTCATACTATATTTTGGCGTGAAGCCAAATTAGTTTTGAATTCAATGCAATTCATAAAAAGCAAGGGTTTAGTTAAAGTTTTAACTAAACCTCCTTGCATTAAAAATTGGATTAGAACGATGGAGGGTGTGAGCTACATTTGGCAGAAATTAAAAGTAGTTCATGGTTTTAGTTACTTATGCACCAGAAATTTTAACCGAGATCCCTTGGAGAATTTTTTTGGTTGCATAAGGAGTCATAAGGCTTCGAATACTAATCCAAGTTGTTACTCTTTTATGTCTGCCTTTAGAACTTTGCTTGTCAACAATTTATCATCTCGTCATTCACCTTCTGCTAATTGTGAAATTGTCAAGTGTTTTTGAATAATGAAGATGTCTTGGAAACTGACTCTCTGATCAATATGTCTATTGATGCAGAGCCGTTTCATTTCCAAGACATGTCATTGTACAGTAAAACTGCTAACGCTTATGTTG